ATCAGTATTTGTACTTGGGTAATTTTTTGGTCAAAATCCAAATCCAATATGACCGCAACTAAAAGAGATATAAAAAAACGGCTAAACTCATTTGTTGTGTTCTGTATGGGAACAATTCTCAAAAAGTTTGAAATCATTTCATGCAGCGGATTCAGAGGAGATAGTATTTGAAGACAGGTGCCCATAAAACCCTGTCAAAACCTTGAATCCAATATGGCTGCCAAACCACGTGATCAATGACCAAAGTCAAAGAACAAAAAATATCAAGCAACTGAAGCAGTATATACATGCAAGGTTTGAAAGTAAACGGGCAAACGGTTGTAGAGCAACAGGGCAAAATATATCGTCAAAAAATACTTGTTTTTCAGTTATCTGCCCTTGGCCTTTGGGCCTACGGCCTTGGCTTTCTGGCGGGCACTAGTACCCAACGGTCTACAAACACCCACAAAATTTGAACAAAATCGAGCTGGTGGTTATTTTGCTAGGGCGGGTACAAAAATCGGCGGAATAATAAATAATAATAATAATAAATAATAATAATAATAAATCGAACGATTACAATAGGGCTCTACAGCCTTTCGGCTTGGAGCCCTAATAAGTGCATTTATATTGCGCCAGATTCCATTCACCAAGTGGATGCTCAAAGCGCTACACTATTATTATCCCAGTCAATGGATCAGTGAGCACTCGATTTTCATTCTCATCTACATCATGATGTACCTCACTCAGTCACTATGTATACATGATGTAGCTGTGATACCTCACTGAAGGAAGTAACATACAGGTACATGTATGGATGTTTTCATTAGACAATAGTATGCATTTAGGATTAAGAGGAAAGAGAGGTGCATTCCCAGACATTTCACACAATGTCTGTGATAAATCTAAACCACTTGGTGGCTAGTATGTCTCTGGGGAGCTAAAATAATGTAATATGTTTCATTTTTCAACATTTTTCAACCTAAAACATAGACATATTCATATGTAATGAATAACAAATAAACCTAAAATCCTTGAGGATTTGTCCTCAACATGTCTTGCCATATGTGCATCTTTTGCAATATGTTTTGCAAGAGATTATCAAGTTATAAGCTTGAAAATTGTCTGAATTCAATTTAATATTCTATTGTTACTTTGAACTTCATACCAAGATAAAGTTTTATCCCAGCTCTTCAAACAGATAGTCGATCATTTTAAGATGATGCAGTTTGACCAACTGTCACATGACCTTGACTTCTTTATGACTACCTTTTTACTTGTATTCACTAATACTTGAGTAAGTGAGCATGGTTTTACACAGATGTTAGCAGTATTTCACCAATATCATGGTGGGAAATGAAACCTGTACACTACACTGTCAAAGTGACAGACATTATTCACAAGTAAGGGAGTAACCATTTCATTTTCGGGGGGGGGGCAAGATCTTTTTTAAAAAAGTAATCACGCAACTGTTTACTGATTTTTTCACAAATGCCTCGCATTGTCAGAAAAAATATTAATGTGCCCTTCTCTTAAGACTGTGTATTGAAACGTCAAATTTTTAATTCACTGCTTTCAATGAACTGTGAACTGATGAAGGTTGTCAAAGTTAAAGTTGTATTGGGGACAAGCTTCCAATGTCTATTAATTGCTCATGCGCCTCTGACAGTCAAGTCCAGTTCCTTGCCTTTACGTTGCGGAATTGCTCGCAGAGCGAAAGATGGCTGTCTGGAGCTTCAAAACCTTTTGCTTTGGGCAGAGGAGGCTCTGCTGCTGCTAAACAAAGGCCTGGGGGCATTCCATTATGGGTGACCAATCAGAGTGTAGCTTACCAGATCAGGAATGTGACAGTCAGAATGTGTTTTGTAATCAGAAACCCTTGAAAAGGTAAACACAGGGTATTCTGAACAACGATTAAGGGCTTTAGAACTGAATCGGTCAAAATCCTCATCTATCTCCCGCTTCATTTGGATAAACCATGGACCTATATTTAGGTCCATGGATAGATATTTGAAGGGAAGAGACTTTGCACTGCCCGTGGGAAGTAGTGCCATACTATCTAGGTCATCTATTAGACATTCCAGAATGTTTTGTTCAGTTTTCCAGGGGTTGAAAATAACATATTTAGTCCACTAGTCCTTATAATGATAACATATAGCAAAACCCTTCAAAATGGCAAATTTTTACTAGTCCTTATGATACCTTAACTATTGGGCAGTTTGGCAAGTACTACAGGTTTCGTGCCAATTTCTAACGCTGTTTTCAAATTTTGAATCGAGAACTTTGCCAAATAGTCTGGAATGTAAGTCACCAGTTTGAAACTAGTGCCATATAGCTCAAGAAAGCTGCTTTCTGACTGGCTAATGTCATTTTCTTGGTTGTCATTTTATTGGTCAAAGTCAAAGTTCGTTCTGACTAGCTTGATTGACATAAACCATGGTGCAAGCAGTTGCGCCGACAGTGGGAGGGATCATCATGTCTCACTAGACAGCTAACACCCGCCTAAAGCTGGGAAGCCCCCTTACAAAAGACAAGACAATAAAGAAAGGAAGAAAGATGCTCAAGAAGCCAGCTGTTAGGTTGGGTTGCTGGAATGTTGGCACCAAGATGACCAGTGGACCTCCAGGAGATCTGCAAGATGGCTATGATCAACAACTAACAACAGAAACTGCAAGTGGACATGCCCACGTTGCAGGAAACATATTTGCCAGCCTCTGGCACTCTGCGTGAGAGGGACTACTCGTTCTTCTGGCAGAAAAAGGCAGCTGATCAAACCAGACATCATGGCATCGGTTTTGCTGTCAAGTATTCAGCGCCCAGGTTGATAGAACCTGGTGAGAATTGAATAAAGACTTTCATACTCCAACTCCTTACATCTGACAGGCCTGTATGCTCCTACCCTCTACTCCCACACAGGAGGCTTAGGATGAGTTGGTAACATAAACGAAAATGGACAACAGCTTTTTAAGCTGTGCACTACAACAGCTGTGCTCCACCAATTCCTTCCTCCAGAACAAGCCTCAGTACAAGGTGTCCTGGTGACACCCCTTTTCAAAGCACTGGCATCCCAAGATGGCGCCAACACAGGAACATTCTCATCATACGTTCATATGACACTGCCAACTGCTACACAGACCATACCTTGACTCCAGCCAAAGAGGATGCACAAAGAAAGACCCTTCACGCCACTGCACACTCAGCCTTTGGGAAGAAGCAGTGGGAAAACTCCTGGCTGGCTCAAAACTGACTTCTGAAAGGTCTCGCCATGCAGCTCTATCAGAATACAAATGCTGCCCCAACATGAAGTCCCTGCAAGCTCTACAAAATAGCTAGAAGCATAGTCCAGAAAACAGCTGTGTCAGTGCTGGCAAGTGGGAGGGAAATGAGAGACTGCAGCTTCACCTTTAACAAGAACAAGCAATTGCTGAGCATCGTCGGAAAGCTCTTCACTAAAGCGGTCCTGAGCAGGCACACACGTCTCCCTATCATCTCCATATCATGTTTCAGACATGTTCAAAGGAGGAAAAGTCTGGGCTCATTGCTGGCCACGGCATTCTATGGTGGTCAGCAGTGATGGTTTGTGTAGATGAGCAGGGACATTGTCTTCCTCAAAAAAGAAAACGTCAACCCACACGCCTTGCAAACGGGAAAACAAAGGGTGTCAGTATGTTGATAGTACAGTCCAGTAACCCTTCCTTACACAATATGGCATGGGATTTTGGTCAGTCATAATAATGCTACCCTACACCATAACCGATCCATGACCAAATCTGTCATGAGGTCTCAGATTGACATTGGCTTGATGTTCATTTCAACGTCACCAGACATGACCATGGCTATCTAGGAAGTGCAAAGAAAATCATGACTCATATGAAAACATGACACGTGACCAGTGAAGATTCCCCGGTTTCGAGGTTGTGTACACCATTAACGTCTGTTGGCAATATGACGATTTGTAAGGGGCTGTCGAGCATTTGTTGAGGGTTTGTTGGTACCTGTTCCACAGTCTGCTAATTACAGAATCTGAAACTTTGATCATATTGGCCACTGCATACTGACTTCTGCCAGTTTCCAGCATGCCAACAGCCTGTAGAGGCTTTACTCCCATCACCAGTTCATACACACACAATGAATGAAATCAAGTAAATCGCAACTGTATGATTAGTAGAATCATTAAGATTGACAGAAATAATGGTCCACAGAGATTGATCAACCTTCCTGGAAAATGTTAAAATCAGGAATAAAACCCTATGCACGTGTGTGGGGCTACTGCATGTGGCACATGCAAACTATCAGATGAGTTTTGGTGTTAAGTTTCAAAGAGAAATACGTTCTTGCATAGGATGTTTGTTGTCAACCCTTATCTTTATACTTGAACCGCCGTCATATAGCTGGAATATTGCTGAGTGCGACGTTAAACAACAAACAAACAAACTAATAGGGGTACTTGATATTAACATTTATACTTCATGATCTCTTAGTTTTTTTTAAGTGTATATTAATAGCAGATGACTCATGCTGACATGATCATTCCTGGATACGGTAAACTCTGGCCCAGGGAAAGGTTAATTGATAAGTGACCTTTCAACCTACCTAATAGTTGAAATTTGTTTTTGGTATCAAAGGGAAATTGGTATGCTTACATGTGAGCTATCTGAGTGATCTCAGAAAATGTCAGTCAGCAATCACAGGGTATAGGTGGCCCAGATATTTAAGTCACTGCAATCCGCTGTGCAGAGTTGCGTCCCTTGGGCACGCAGAAACCTATGATCGTGGGTTCAAATCCTGGTTTACTATTATTATATTTCTTGGTTTGTCAGCACCATACCCATGCTCATGAGTTTCACCAAAGTGTCAAGCATCTATGACCTGCATCACTTCGGGCTTTCCTCCACATTAAGCTGACACGCCGTGATATAACTGGAATACTGTTCAAAGCAGCGCTAAATCACTCACTCAATCATGAAACACTTGTTTTGAGATATGGTGACAGGCCTTGACTCTCTGTGAAAGCTTGTTACCTGATCCAGAACTCCAGCCAGCAAGTCCACACTGTCCTCTGACAGCTCCTCACCCCCCTGCCCTGGCCCAGCCGGCAGCAGCAGCTCACTGACTGCCACAGACTTCAACAGCAGTGAGATGTTAGGGCCCGGCAGCAGAATGAACCACCCACAGGGGGGAGGTGGATGAGAGGAGGCCTTCACAGGCTGCACTGGATGCTCCATTTGACCCAACATCACCATATCCTGTCACAAACACACTCAATGTTAAAAACTAGTATTTAAAAAGAGAATATAGGTAGAAAGAATACAAATATTTGGGGACAAGCTATTACAATAGTACATATGTGTATCGGTCTAAAAATGTCTTGTACATTTTGTAATGCCAAGTATTTCATATTTATTTTGTTTATATTTATTCAACTGGATATAATAGAATCACACTTTATCTACATATTTTCAAAAATAGTACCCTAAACATGCAACAACAGGAAAACAAAACGTGCAACAGAGTAGCCTCCCATCAAATGTAAAATTGCAGAAATTGAATGTTTATTTAGGCTTAAATAAATAATAGTCTTGATTCTCAGGCACCGCCTGCATCATCCTTAAGTTTGCCGCACATTTTGTTTTTATTTCCATTTTTTTTTTTAAATAAAATAAAAAAATCCTTAAATATTACAAGTCCAGTGGTAGTCAAAAACTCTATCCCAGTATTTTACTCATCAAGGAATACATTTACGTAGGGAGGCCCTTTCCCAGGTTGTTTTCATTTGGGTACATACTAGTTTGCAGGGTTAGAAACTAACAGTTTTCGGCCACTAGTCCTTATAATGATAACATATAGCAAAGCCCTTAAAATTGGCAAATTTCTACTAGTCCTTATCATACCTTTACCATTGGGCAGTTTGGCAAGGACTATAGGACTAGTGCCAATTTCTAACGCTGGTTTGAACAACCCCCCCCCCCCCCCCCCCCAAAAAAGACCGCCTTTTCAAAACCCATTGCCTGAGACCCAAATCTTTTATTTTTTTTAAGCCTTTAAAAAGTGATAATAAATGACATCTAAGATCAACAATTATAGTTGTTCTTGACTGATTTAGTAATTTAATATTTCAAAGAAAATTACATTTGTTCTGTTAATTTGTTTTGTCACTCCCGTTATCAGAATGAGAGCTCCCTTTGTACCACAAATTCAATCCACTCTTTTAGGCAACATGCCCTTTGTACTTCCTGTCTTTCCTCAATGGTGGGTTGATTTTGGAGATCAAATTCATATTTTATCTTGTCTAGGAGGGGTAAGAAGTCACTGAGCACTAAAATGTGTCACTTATATTGTGATAGGTTTTTCATATTTTGAATAGCTTTTATTCGTTCATAATAATTTTTCAGACCATGTGCTTCCAAGAAACAGGTAGAACAAAGTGTGTCAAAATATTATATAGAGCCAAATACTTCTTCCTATATCTGTCCTACTGCTGTTACAATGAAAAAGGTAACAGGAGGAATCTCCAAATGAATACATTTTTAAAAGTAACATCATCTGGTGTTACATATTGGAAGTAATTGTTTCCATTATCAAGTAGTACATGAAGCAACAAAGCCACCATTTCAAATGAACTTATTTATTTGTGCTTTGCTTTGAAAAAGTAACACAAGTGACGTCCCTTATATCAGCAAGGACATCAAGGTTTCTTGAAAACAATGACATGTTGAAAACAACATTACATTTCATATTTGAAGATACATGTACATACTTTTAATTCCTAACTTATAATGGTTATTTGCATTTTGCTGTGAAACAGTTTTATGAGGCCAAGTCACTGCAGGGACATTAAGATTTTAAAACACCATAGTGCTTGAACTCAATCCAGTCTAGAATGATTGAAGTCAAATTTTTCTTTTGCTTTGCTGTTTACTAAGTATCTAACGACAAGGATTATACCTTTCAATGTAAATAGGTGATTATTGGATTGACTTTCCGCTGAAACAACCCCTCAAAACATGTCAGGTCACACCTGTGGTCCCAACTGAGACCAATGACTATGTGCATGGGAAGAAAGAATGTTTAGTTATTGTGCACATGCTGACATGTTTTTAAGGATTTTCCTTTAAAAACAGTATAGTGAGGTATATGGGGAAAAATATTGTGTTTTCTTTTACTAAAATAGAATTTGAGTTTTTGTCCCTCCTGTTACTCCATGTCCTTCCTGTCCCCTTCCCTCCAGGTAGTGACAACAAAAGAAATACTTATTACTCCATTATGGTTTTCCCAGAGTCATAATGTCCTTGTAAACATTAAAATAACTGTACCATACCATTGGTAAATGCTACATGACAAGTGATTTGACATATTTAATGTTACATCCACAATGCACATTCAAATTATGACTGTAGTATACATAGTAAACAAATTTACACAACATTTCATTGATATTAGCAATAACTTTATGGACAATAGTTCATGTGTATCTAACATATCTCATTATATTGGTATGCCATTATACACCAAATTATGGTTACTTTTCTACAATGTGTACAAATAAAGTACCAATCAGGAGGAGTGAATTTCAGTTTTTTTAAAATACTCAAATGGTTATATTTCAATGAAATTACAATAAATGTGCTTCATAAAATATAACTATTTTGTCATTTTTGTCACTTGCAAATCTGACATCTTCTGAGAATGATCCTTATTATAACACTGTAACATTCATTCACTAAATATAAAGACATTTTCCTGTTTGATTTTGGAATTATGAAGGCTCTTCTTGAGCAATAATGAGAATAATGATGTTGTTTACATGGGTATCTCTCTCCTTGAGTGCAAGGAGGCAGAAGTTCTGCAATATGTTCCAGCCTTGAAATGATCTTCCCATCCTACAGTTGATCCTTCTATGTTAGAAGTGTTCTTTCTATCACACCAGTGAACTATTCATGTGGTTCTAGTGCCATTCAAAAAGTACTACTATCCTAGAAGTGGTTTATCAGTCCTACAATGGCTCCCCATACCCCACCTGTGGTCTTTGTCTCTAAGTGGCCCACGTGATCCTTCTACCTTACACAGTCCAGGCGGTGGTTACAACATTCAGTACAGTGTGTGAAGCTAATTGCTGGTGTGCCCCGCCATGATCTTGCTGGAATACTACTAAAAGCAAGGGGCGGTCGGGTAGCCTAGTGGTTAAAGCGTTCGCTCGTGACGCCGAAGACCCGGGTTCCATTCCCAACATGGGATCAATGTGTGAAGCCCATTTCTGGTGTCCCCCGCCGTGATATTGCTGGAATATTGATAAAAATGGCGTAAAACCAAACTCACTCACTCACTAAAAGCAGCTTAAAACCATACTCACTCACCACACATGTGGTCCTCCTACCCTATATGTGGTCCTCCTACCACACAGGTGGTCCTCCTATCCTACATGTGGTCCTCCTACCACACAGGTGGTCCTCCTACCCTACAGGTGGTCCTCCTACCACACAGATGGTCTTCCTACCCTACATGTGGTCCTCCTACCACACAGATGGTCTTCCTACCCTACATGTGGTCCTCCTACCACACAGATGGTCCTCCTACCCTACATGTGATCCTCCTACCACACAGATGGTCCTCCTACCCTACATGTGGTCCTCCTACCCTACATGTGGTCCTCCTACCACACAGGTGGTACTCCTACACTACATGTGGTCTTCCTACCCTACATGTCGTCCTTCTACCCTACATGTTGTCTTCCTACCCTACATGGGGTCATCCTACCACACAGATGGTCTTCCTACCCTACATGTGGTCCTCCTAAACTACATGTAGTCCGCCTACCACACAGGTGGTCCTCCTACCCTACATGTGGTCCTCCTACCACACAGGTGGTCTTCCTACCCTACATGGGGTCCTCCTACCACACAGATGGTCTTCCTACCCTACATGGGGTCCTCCTACCACACAGATGGTCTTCCTACCCTACATGTGGTCCTCCTACCACACAGATGGTCTTCCTACCCTACATGTGGTCCTCCTACCACACAGATGGTCTTCCTACCCTACATGTGGTCCTCCTACCACACAGATGGTCCTCCTACCCTACATGTGGTCCTCCTACCCTACATGTGGTCCTCCTACCACACAGGTGGTACTCCTACACTACATGTGGTCTTCCTACCCTACATCTCGTCCTTCTACCCTACATGTTGTCTTCCTACCCTACATGGGGTCATCCTACCACACAGATGGTCTTCCTACCCTACATGTGGTCCTCCTACACTACATGTAGTCCGCCTACCACACAGGTGGTCCTCCTACCCTACATGTGGTCCTCCTACCACACAGATGGTCTTCCTACCCTACATGGGGTCCTCCTACCACACAGATGGTCTTCCTACCCTACATGGGGTCCTCCTACCACACAGATGGTCTTACTACCACACATGTGGTCTTCCTACCACACAGATGGTCTTCCTACCCTACATGGGGTCCTCCTACCACACAGATGGTCTTCCTACCCTACATGTGGTCCTCCTACACTACATGTAGTCCGCCTACCACACAGATGGTCTTCCTACCCTACATGTGGTCCTCCTACACTACATGCAGTCCGCCTACCACACAGATAGTCTGCTACCTTACATGTAGTCCGCCTACCGCAAGGTGGTCCTCCTACACTACATGTGGTCCTCCTACACTACCTGTGGTCTTCCTATCCTACATGTGGTCCTCCTACACTACATGCAGTCCGCCTACCACACAGATGGTCTGCTACCTTACATGTAGTCCGCCTACCGCAAGGTGGTCCTCCTACACTACATGTGGTCCTCCTACACTACATGTGGACCTCCAACACTACATGTGGTCCTCCTACCCTACATGTGGTCCTCCTACCCTACATGTGGTCCATCTGTGTGGTCCTCCAACACTACATGTAGTCCGCCTACCACACAGGTGGTCCTCCTACACTACATATGGTCCTCCTACCACACAGGTGGTCCTCCTACCCTACATGTGGTCCTCCTTCCACACAGGTTGTCCTCCTACCCTACATGTGGTCCTCCTACCACACAGGTGGTCCTCCTACCCTACATGTGGTCCTCCTACCACACAGGTGGTCTTCCTACCCTACATGTGGTCCTCCTACCACACACATGGTCCTCCTACCACAAAGGTGGTCCTCCTACCCTACATGTGGTCCTCCTACCACACAGGTGGTCCTCCTACCCTACATGTGGTCCCCCTCCACAGATCGCCCTTATACCCTGGGTTGTAATAGTGGTCCTCTTTAGTCATGTGATCACCTTACAGACAGGGTTTTCCTAGCTTCTAAAAAGTAAAGGTCACAATGACCCGCTGAAACATTCTTGAATGTGAGTCAATGTTTTTATTCTATTCCACAACATCATTTAATTCTTTGATGATATGTACCAAATTTGACACCATATGGTTTGATTTTATTTGTATAATTTTGATTTTCAGTTTCATTTCATGGACAGAATTCAAAGAACGCAAATGCCAGGAGAGGGAGTTTCAGTTGATGCAAATGTTATTTGATTGGCATCTTTAATGCTAAAACTCGTCATATACAAAGGATTTTGTATCGGTGAAATCTTTCCGAGTGGTAGTGTTACCTTTCAAATGATCCTCCTAGAAGTAGTAAGTGTTTCCTCCAGGTGCCCAATCGTCCCTACTTGAACAAGCTCTCCTCTTTAACCTACATGTGGTACAGCACCAATTACAAGTTGCTGCCCCTGTTCTAGCCTACAGATGTCCTGCAATTATCAAGGCGGTCCACATATGACTGAATATATTCACTCGGTTATTATCCCTTCCAGAATTGTGCTGCATGTTTGTTACACATCAAATATATACATTGTACCTGCAACATACCTTCTTGTGGAGTAGATGACAGAGAGCCTTGAAGTTCTGTTGATTTTTCTCCAAATCATCCCAGTCCACTTTCCAGCATGAAGTTGGTTGAACCATTAGAGGCTGAAACACAACCAACGTGATCCATCTTGTACAATATAACACTCACATGGTCATATTGTCTTGAAAACCTAAACTGGTACTTAGGCAAGCATTATCTGGCCTTTTGGAATTAATTTTGTAACAATGATAGATTAGTGAATAGGTATCTTATATTAAAACTACTTTTGTGATGATGGGCTAACAGTTGAGGGAATCACACACAATTATGAAAATGTGCGCATTAGTTGATAAGGGTTTGACTGTAAAGGGTGTCACACATACCAGGCCAAATATGACTGACTCACACACTGCTGCCGTGTGAATGAGTGCTGTGATGTAGATGCTGTGTACTGGGACAGTGATACCAGCTGCCTTGCTGGTGCTGGCAAACACCAGTTTACAGGTGGCACTCTCAGGGTGCAGGGTCTGCCAGGAAATGAGCATCATATTAGCATGAAATGTTTCTAATTACATTACCCAAACAATGGTTTCTTAATACAAGTTATTTTAATGAGTCTTTATATGCATTTTGAAGTCAGATCTAATTGTAACCAGGAATTTTATGGATCACAACTTATTGTACAAACACAACATTTTAGGGCTACTTCAAGTCACTCTATCAGGGCTTATCAGGGGAATGACATGGTGAAACAGTGGAAGAGACCTGAGGATTATTCATTCCTCATACTGCTTCTATGAATAACAACTATATGCACAGCTGCAGGTACCCCTACATATGCTGTGTTGTATAAATGACAACTATACGCAGCATGGCTGCAGGTGCCCCTACATATGCTGTTTTGTATGAATGACAACTATACGCAGCATGGCTGCAGGTACCCCTACATATGCTGTGTTGTATGAATAACAACTATATGCACAGCTGCAGGTACCCCTACATATGCTGTTTTGTATGAATGACAACTACACACAGCATGGCTGCAGGTGCCCCTACATATGCTGTGTTGTATGAATGACAACTATACGCAGCATGGCTGCAGGTGCCCCTACATATGCTGTGTTGTATGAATGACAACTATACGCAGCATGGCTGCAGGTGCCCCTACATATGCTGTGTTGTATGAATGACAACTATACGCAGCATGGCTGCAGGTGCCCCTACATATGCTGTGTTGTATGAATGACAACTATACGCAGCATGGCTGCAGGTGCCCCTACATATGCTGTGTTGTATGAATGACAACTATACGCAGCATGGCTGCAGGTGCCCCTACATATGCTGTGTTGTATGAATGACAACTATACGCAGCATGGCTGCAGATGCCCCTACATATGCTGTGTTGTAAGAATGACAACTATACGCAGCATGGCTGCAGGTGCCCCTACATATGCTGTGTTGTATGAATGACAACTATACGCAGCATGGCTGCAGGTGCCCCTACATATGCTGTGTTGTATGAATGACAACTATACGCAGCATGGCTGCAGGTGCCCCTACATATGCTGTGTTGTATGAATGACAACTATACGCAGCATGGCTGCAGGTGCCCCTACATATGCTGTGTTGTATGAATGACAACTATAAGCAGCATGGCTGCAGGTGCCCCTACATATGCTGTGTTGTATGAATGACAACTATAAGCAGCATGGCTGCAGGTGCCCCTACATATGCTGTGTTGTATGAATGACAACTATACGCAGCATGGCTGCAGGTGCCCCTACATATGCTGTGTTGTATGGTAGCTGTGCAGGGTTGAGGATTCCTTCATGCAGGTCACACTTCAGCACAAGTCTCGAGCCATCTGTAACATAACTCACCATGAACATCTACAAGCAACAACTAAATGACACCAAATCCTTGTGGATTGTAACCACAGCTTGAAACATCTTCTAATGTTAGATGATTTATGTTACAATTCCATAATCCTACCATAGAAAATAAAACTCTCATTTATTTACTTAAAACATCTCTCTGATTGACAAAATGTCATTTTGTAAGAGATCTTTTTGCTTATCATATTAATATAAACCTTAGTTACCAAAATATGAGTAAGAAAACATCCAGTATTTTTTTCAGATGTTTATTCAATGCTTGTATCAAATCGTCCAGCACATGCCTATGATTTTCATACCTTGAGGAATTTTTAGGAATGTACAACTGTTTGCTCAGATTGACTGTTTATCGGTATAATTGACTTTCTCTCTCCTCATATCAGATTGCCATTTACCACTTGTAGTTGACAATAAAAAGTGGCTGTCATGATAGGAAATGACATCATTTGACATGATCAATGTGCAATCAGACAGTACAAGGGATGGGCAAATAGTCATTTATTAATACAGCTGATAAACATTTATATTAGAATGACAACAAACAATGCACTCTCAAACTGGTGAGAATTAATCTCTCCTTTGACGAAGGAAGCAACCATCAATAAATTAATAATGAAATTGGTGCAAATATTGAAGTCACACACTAAGTGCATTCACACAGAAATACCAAGGGGTCCTAGCTGCAAAGTGTGCCATGAATATGTTCATAGCCTTAAAACATCACACGACATTTACAGTTTATGAAGAGCACTTGTCACTGCTACTACATCAGAAAAATGTGGCATGCTTTTGATTGAATTCCCCTTCAATTTTTGAAGACTCTCTATTAAAAAGTTAAGATTGTTTTACAATGTATTCAAAAGAAACAAACTTTAACTTAGCAAAGTAATCTATTTTGACTAATCTTTAGTACTGAAGCTGCAACCCTAAAAGCCCTTGGATGCAGAAGACAAAGAAAAGACAACATTTCTATTTATGCCCACTCCTATGGACAGCCATCCAATTAAAAATACATCAATGGAAATAAAGATCTCCATTATGTAATAATACTCACATACTACAAATAAATTATTAAATGTTAATAATAAGAGGTAATTACTTGCATATGCATGTGAATTCTACCTGGAGTGATTTTAAGTATTTCTGTTCAAAATATGACATTATTGGACTCTGTGAGACATTTGCTTGACATCCGAAAGACTTCAATAAGTTACTGTCTGGTTTTTAAACATTTCATTATTGCAGATTTAAGCAAAACCAAATGAGTCTATGCAGCGGTGGTGTGTCAGTGTCCATGAAAGATGATCGTATTAGCAGCAGATATATTAGTTTCATATGTGACTCTTTTGGGGACTGTATTGTATGTCACTTATGAATACCTTTAATGCTGCGATGTGTACTTTTTTAGACTATAACATCTGGTTATTTGCATTATATACATAATAACAGTGATGATTATCAAACCAATCCTTTTAATATCCCCAGAAATACCATGGATAACACAAGATATAACAAATGTGGAGTTAAACTAGGATTGCATGCTCACAGTGGGGTTTGTTGATGATGGAGATGGGAAAGTTACTTGCACAACTCATAATGGTAATGGACTATATCCTGGCAAGCACTTGCTCGTATCAGTTCCTGCTGTATTCCACTGCCAAAAATTCAAAACTCAGCACTCTATTTCTGTAAATCCTGCAACTAACTTTGTTTAGTATTGCACACAATTACTAAAACTTTTAACCTTATTTTTCGTGAATTTCGTAGTTTTGCAACTGTTTTACTTGTGGTGGGCATTTTTATGATAAAAAGGCGAGAATCGGGAGATCACTAGTGTTAACATTCAGACATGCACTTTCTGTCAGCAATATTACAAAAGTCAACTTCACTTCAAAACAAAATAAATATCTGTTAACACGTTTAAAACCTGCTTTTGACTCACGTGTAATTAATCACAAGAAATTAAACAAAAGAAATATGCATCTCTGAGAGCTTACAGGACTTTTGGGAAGAATATTAGCACATATTGATACTATAAGAAGAACTAGTAAAAAACCTATTAGTTAAAAAAATAGATGAATATTTTCAAACACATCGGATAAAGCTTCATGAGTCAAGGAATGATCCAAAAGCGTTTTGGAAAGAATTTCTACAATTACTCCAAGTAAATAAGTGGCAAAATGCTGTATGGACATTTTAAAAACCTTTTGATTTGTGATTCCAGATTACTCTTAGAACACATGATACAGATATTAGGTTTGATTGTCTTTTTATTGACTTCTCCAAAGCATTTAACTATATAAATCATGAAATATTGTTCAAGTGCCTCTTCAACCTTGATGTTAAAGGTCAATTTAGTTAGTTAGTTTGTTGTTTTACGCTGCACTCAGCAATATTCCAGCTATATGACGGTGGTCTGTAAATAATCAAGTCTTGACCAGACAATCTAGTGATTCTTATCATGAGCATTGATCCACGTTATTGGGATACGATGACATGCATCAACCAAGTCAGCGAGCCTGACCACCCAATCTTGTTAATTGCCTCTTACGACAAGCATAGTCGCCTTTAACAGCAAGCATGGGTTGCTGAGACCTATTCTACCCTAGATTTTCACGGGTCATTTACTGAGGTGTCTCATCTGTATCTCAACACTGTTTTACAGTTTCAAAAGAAACTTTATGTTCGGCAAAGTCTTTGTGCAGAAACTGGAATGAAAGTAAATCTCAACAAAACTGAAATGATGGTATTTCAAAATGGAGGTCCTGGGGAAGAAATAACACTTGCCAACATGTACAGATACCTTGATATTGTTTTTTCACCTAAATCCTGATGGACAAAGGCTCAAACATGTTTAGCACCTCTAACAAGAAGAGCAGTATTCTCAATTCACAACTATCAGAAACATTTTGGATACATTAGTCATAATGATCTTTTTTTAACATTTTTTATGCTATCATCACATCTATTCCGTGCTATGGATCTGAGATATGGGGAACCAGTTCTTGTAACATTGTTGACAGTGTGCACACCAGATTTTGCCAATCATTTGAGAGTTAACAAGTATACTAATAACAATATGATTCTGGGAGAGTGTGACAGAGTCTCCATGCAATATCATTATAGATACAGTTAGAGAAGTTAAGTTTTGTTTGTTGTTTAACTCAATATTCCAGCTATATTACAGCGGTCTGTAAATAATCTAATGTGGACCAAACAATCCAGTGATTGATGTCATGAGTATGACCCGTGCAATTGGGATACGATGACAAGCATCAAACAAGTCAGCAAGCTTGACCATCCGCTCCCATTAATCGGCTCTTACAACAAGCATGTGTTGCTAAAGACCTATTCTAACCCAGATCTTCACGTGGCAGCAGTTAAGTACTGGTGCAGATTGACTCCGCTAGCACAGCATAGGCTTCTCCACCAAGCACATAAAATGATTAAAACTCTTGATAATAAAGGTAAACATACATGGGCATCTAAGAAATATTTTATTTAGATTTGGTTTTGGATTTATATGGCTGTCTTAAGGCATTGGATTGCATCTAATCATTCATAGTAATCTTAAGAGATTTTATGACTGCTTCTTTCAATTTCATCTAAATGCAATTATTAATTTCTCTAAAGATTAGAAGCAATTCATCTATCACTGTTACATAAGTGTATTGTACTCCAGCCATTTATTCAGCATGTACATTAAAATATATTTTCCATCTTGTTTGTATTATGGGTCTAGAGCCTAAAGTACTGAATATAGTCAGTCTGTGTCTATCTGCATATGAATAATGGATCTTAAAACACCTTGAAATATCATATAGAAACAGAAAGACGCCATATGAAACAAAAGAACTCTTCTGAACACAAAATGACACCATACACTAAAGGAGAACATTCACAATAAAGAACACCCGATGGCTGCATTTTGTACAGCATTCCGAGTTAGATCGGTTCATGCCGACATGTACATAATACATGTATGCTTAACAGGAAACTGAAGATAACAACACATACATTCATTAGGTCTTTCTTCGGATGGATTCTATGATATTAGCAAGCCATTAGTCATTGTGCCGGGTAAACCCAGGTTATGAAGCATTGTTCAAAGTGTAGACATCTGGTTCTTTATCTATTTTATTTATTCTCATAGAGAATAACAAATTTTGTTATTAATCAAAATGTATATATCAATATATTGTGATACTTTTTAGTTGATATAGTGATACTAAACATTCCTATCATTGAGACACCCCTAATTAAAATTAGTTTGTCATTATTGCTCATTATGTTTCAATGCCAATGCACTTGAACATATGAAGTAATTGTGATTATTATAACTGGGAACTATGGGTACTGGCTGAAGCGTTCAGATTTTTCTGATTTCCAGGGCCTTATTACAAACACAAAATTCAAAAGGTCCCTCAGGCGATGACTAAAGCTGCACTAAAATTGCAATATTTACAGGACATCACATAGGGGTGGCAGAGGAATAACATAATACGGTACATACATATGTTGGACACCCCCACGTTGTGTTGCGCATTGCATGCATGTATCATTTACACACTGAAATATGCCAATCTAACTCGGAATGTTGTAACAACTGCAGCGCCACCTTGAGTAACATACTCTATATGTTGTCCTTTAGCATTTGGCATCCTTTTGTGTGCACAGACATTTTCTTGCACACATTGTTCTTTGTTTCATATGATGACTTTTGTTTGCTATAGGATATGTCAGGATTGTTCATAATGGTATTTTGAGTTTCATTATTTCTATGCAAACAATGACCTTTTTCAGTAACATTTAACACTTTATTTGTAACATTTGTCTACTATTGCAAAAAGCTATAAAAAATAAACTGAGATACAAGCAATCTAACTATGGCATTTGTTTCCTATCAGGGAGTTTAATAGCTCATACTTTGCTTTTAGATTGAACATTTTGTTCTATAGGCCATTTCTCAGGCCAATCAGTGTCCAGACCGAGAATAATGCCTGCAAGATTAAGATTAATATCATTATTGTCCCTGGGAGAGGCATTTATTTTTTGGTTGTAACAGTAATAGCAACAACATATTTATAACTGAAATATTATACACAAGCATGAAGCTATCATAAAATCTTGACAACAGACATGTCTATACATGTAACTTCTTGTAAAGCTATCATCACCTGTGTACTTGGAGGGCAACACAATGTGGAGGTGTTCGCTGTCACTGCCGCAATCCGTCAACCAACCATGGAAGAAATTCTGCAGACTCACACAATCTCAGAAAAATGAAATGACAAAGATGACAAAAGATTTCTCTTTGAAATATAAATTCTCGATTCTATATTAACATAAGCTGAAAAGCAAGAGAAAAAAAAAAATACGATACTTTACCACTAGCACCATGCAGGATTGTCTGTAACAAAAGCACCAGGTAGGGTTATCTGGACCACGAGCACAAAGCATGTGTGGTGTGGAACAAGATGACTAAGGGGCCAACCATTTGATATGGGATGGGGGAGGAGGAGATCTGGTAGGGAGTCTATATATCATTTCAGATACAGCTGCAAAACCAGATATTTTTTTTAATTAAAACTATAAGCCTGCATACTTTTTTATGACAAAATCACCTTGAATCAATGTAATTTTTGTGTCAGCGAATTTCCTTTTTTCCAACAATCAAAAGCAGAAATATATTTCTCTCCCTCCCAAACGCAGAATATAACAATTGATCAGTCCTGTTTGGACCACAGGGCACTCAGCAGCACTGACCTGAACACAATCACTAAACATGATTATCTGGACCTGGGCGTGTCGGGAACACAAGCACTCAGCAGGTTTGTTTGGTTGGTGGGGTTTTCACAATGGCACTAAGTAGGATCGCCTGGAACACCAGCAGTAAGCAGGATTATTTGGACCACAGGCACTAAGTAGGAACATCTGGAACACCAGCACTAAGTACGCTTGTGGAGAACACAAGCACTAAGCAGGAACATCTTGAATACCAGCACTAAGCAGGGACATCCAGAACCACATCTGAACACTTAAGTACTTATAGGGTTATCTGGAATAGATCACTAAGCAGGGACATCTGTGTCATGGAGCTGTGCTTTAATGATCAGGGTGTCATTAAACAAGACCAAAGTAATAATGAGAACATGGTAACAGGTTCACAGGTATAAATAAGCCCAATCTGTGCTGACAAAGATCACTGATTAATTACATCAGAACAAATATGCAAGCAACTTAGCTGAGCAGCTGTATTACAGTAATAAAATGAGAGTAGCTAAAACAACACTTTGACAAGATACAGACAAGATGCCTAGACAGTCAGTTAAGTCGACTGCAACCAGTTAACACCTGAGTTAATTAACTTGACACTCTAATGAGGGAATAACCTCGGCTGGGTTAGATAACAGGAAATAAACACAGGAGGCTATCTCTAAAATAAGTCACTATCAAACCAGTCTAATAGACTAAAGATTCAGTCACTTTGACTGAGCAAGGAAATACTAAAATTTCCAAAACGCTAGACAATCACGGGAAGGTTGGTTATCCACAGATTACTAGAAAAACTGAGTATTGGAAACCCTAGTAAGTTAGTTTATATCAATACAGTCTGAGTAAGTCAGTACTAGATCAAAAGTGCCCAGTAATCACTTACTAACGAAACCACCCAGTAGCATGCCGTTCCGTAAAACGGCCTAAAGGCACAAAAATCTGATAAAGTTTATATATGTACTGCACGTTGGCCTCAGAGAAAACAATCTCTCCTGAACAGCCTTGGAATACAATAGTCTGGGGTACTTAGCCCAATTGTGTTTTTAAACATGGGGAAAATATGAATAGCAAACTAACTACTATATCCACACAGAAGATGTAAGTATGAAAATAAAGCGCTTAACATAAGCTGTCCAACTGTGTCATTAAAGATTTACAACAAGCTATGTACAATTATTGAGGAGGCAAAAATAAAAATAAATACATGAGAAATATCCAAGTGTACATATAAATTCCCCTAATGTTTGAAAATCACAGTAACAAAACAATTTCAACACATTAATAAGGTAGAGAACATATAGGAGATAACAAACATCAAGTCAATACATGATAAGAGTGCGTCATTAAATCACAAGGGAACAAAATATGAGAGTCATTAATTCTTTAACTGTGCAAGGACACTGTACAACAGCGACCACTGGGCTAATATTATAAGGGTCATCTGGAATACTGGCACTAAGCAGGGTCACGTGGAAGACGGGTTCTAGGCAGTGTCACTTTGAACACGAGCACTAAGCAGGGTCATCTAAAACAGTGTTTTAGAATTAAGGGGTTCCTACGTTCCTTGAGTTTAGCTGCTTTAGTATTTAAATGTGAGGATGCCCTTCATCTTTGAATTTCACATTTTGAGGAGGATCCCTTGACTTTCATGCCTAATTTTGAACAATGCATAAAAATCATTGCAGTCAGCAGAATTACCTGCATCAAGGGTAAGAGTATCCACCAACCCTGTGATCACGCTGGTGGAGGATACACCACTACCTTGACTGGATATGTCCAACAACCCATCCTCGCTGCCACACAGCTGGGGTGTCAACGTCACACATACAATACGCTAGGAAGCATGAAATAAGCTACATTTCAGTTAGGTGAACAGGCAACATTATATGTTCTGTTATAACACAATCTTTGACAACTTGTCAATATCTTAAGACACATTTAGAAGTTTTAGTATCATGAAGGTAGGAATGTATAAGTGGTGATTCAAAACAACATCTCCAGGGACTAAATAGGCTGTCAGGCTGAACAATAGGACAACACAATGTCATGTCAAGCAATATATTTTAAGTTTGTGTCAATCAGTACTGTCCCTCACTGTAATAAACCTCATTAGTGATTGGTTCATTTCTGTTTTCATCAAAGGAACAGATCATGAATTCTGAGACCAATGATCGTTCAAAAATAAGTTCCTTTCAATGACTGAATAGTCTGATAACATCATGGTATCAACATGTTTCAAGGCATATAGCCTAGATGAATGCACACAGTCTACATTAAACTTACCTTGAGGTGTTGAATGTGTACAGTGTCAGATACTGCTTCAATCTGCCTGGATACAAACTCTCCACTACGACAGCCAAGAATAATCACCTCCAGCTGATTCATTGACAGACCTGGCTGAAAATGAAAATAAAAGTAATAATCAGGGATTATGGAGGGTTATACGAGAAAATGTGCCATGGCATGAAACAAGATATGTTCAAGAGATTTTTCACTGTATGACTTTCTTAGTTAATAAGATTTATGTTTTCTGTAACTGTACCGGTAATTGGTATTTTTCTTCATACTCTGATGTCCAAAATAATTTTGAGTTGTCAGGGTATACTGAACTGAGGCAATTACTATGTATTATCAAATGGATAACACTTTAGATATCATTGTATTTTGCAGAAAATATACAGCCTGTATTTCAATACTGTAAATAACTGTTAATCCCGACAGTACAAATCCAAGGGAAAATGTAACATCAAATTTTAGAATAACAAATCATGGGTACACAGTAATGTACACAGAAATTTTAATTACCAGTATACATAAATATTCCCAACTGTAGTTGTCTCGATTGCAGGATTTGTAGACTAAAGAGCACAGGACTATTGAAGTACTAACACTGTACAAAGTCTTATATCAACAATAAATTTTACAACATCAAAAACATTTGTGTATCTAATAACATTTATCATCAATATAAAACTTCTCAATTATCTAGAAAAAAACTGGCGCAAATTGAACAACATGTTTAAGTTGTCAACAAACCAGCAGTCACTTAATCAACAGAATTCCGTTTACAGAATGAATATGATCTTATACCTCATATATAACACGGAAGCAGTAATGGGCATAATGCTCGGGCCAAGTGACAGTTGTTGCAAGTTTTATTCAAGTCATTCAAAACCAACTTTATATATTTGCAAACCCATATTTTAAAAATATCTCAACTTCATACTTCTGTTCATAATTTCATACAAGGCACTTATGTGTGCCTGGATCTGCTGAATAGAGGTGGAATCTCCCTACAAGAACATTATATATGTATATAATATATATCATTCAGTGTCTCAATGTACCCCAGGAAGCACGAGTGGCCCCAGCATCTAAGGCGCCGCAATTCGCTTTGCAGAGTTGTGTCCTTTAGGCATGCCAGAAACCTATGATTGTGGATTCGAATCCTGGTTTGCCCTGATTATGTTTCTAAGTTGGTCAGCACTATACCCGTGCCTGTGGGTTTCACCAAAGTGGTAAACATCTGAGACTTGCATCACTTCAGGCTTTCCTCCCACATCAAGCTGACACACTGTGATATAACTAATACTGTTAAAAGCAGCATTAAACCCAAATCACTCACTCACTCAAGGTATCCCACCACTCTCTTTCACAACAAAACAGGCATACTGTAGTTGCATTGATTACCTGAGTGAATGTACACACTTGTCTCCTGAACTGTTCAGTAGCTTGGTGTACAGCCTGGGGTATACATGAAATGTGCCTGGGCAGACAATTCCCCACTTCTGACACAGATGTTTTGATTGTTCTCAGAGCATTCTGTATGCGCGAGAGGTTACCCTTCAAACTGGACAAAGGGAGCAACAGCTGCAAAGTTAAACCAATGTGCAAAGTGGTGACTACAATCCACAGTTAATGAACAGTTATTATATTTTACTATCTGCACAAAATAAAAAAGATGACAAGCACTCAGTGTTTACAAACTGAAACTAAAAGTTTTGCACAGTTAATTTCACACTTCTATCAAGGTCAATTTGAAAATATGCCTAATTAAAATGAACATCATTGAAACCACTTCAATAAAAGACATGTCTGACCTCAGGTTGAGCTGTCAGCAAAAAGATGCTGACCATTGGGATACGTGAAGGTCCTGCAAGACCACATGCCACAGCAAACAGGTTCTCTAGACTGTCACAGAGTGTGCCACAGACATGATGGTCAAAGGGGGAACTTATGTCAATCAATATAGATCGAGCTGCAATAAATTACCATATGACATTTAATGGCATTTACATCAAAATATCAAAACAGTGTTAAATGGCTTACAGACGATGAGAAATTGACAGAAATACGATAATCCTTTGCACAGCTCTAACTCTAAGCCTATCTGACATGCAGTGATTGACTAGGCTATACAATTTCTGGAACATATCTCCTTTCCTAAACAAGAGATGTTCATGTGACGAGTTTCAGCGAGAAACAGTTGTTTGTATGTTGTTTGTTTATTATTTAACGCCTCAACAGCATTATTCCAGCTATATGACAACAACCTGTAAATAATCGAGTCTGGACCTGACAATCTAGGCTTTTGATTTAGACTACATCATGAGACCCGTGAAGATCCAGGGTAGAATAGGTCTTCAGCAACCCATGCTTGCCATAAAAGCTTGAGGATTGCTGCTCATGATATCAATCACTGAATTGTCTGGTCTAGTCTCGATTATTTACAGACCGCCGTCATATAGCTGGAACCAAACCAACCAACTACATCATGACCTTCGATTCATGGACATTGCGTCAATCAAACCAAGTCATGGATCCTGACCACCCGATTCACGTCTTACTAGTGTAGGTTGCTGGGGACCAATAATCGTACGCGGAAACCCCATGGACCAATAAGGCGAACAAAGTGAGATGTTGAAAAATATACTGCAATGGCATGAACCCTGCCTACCCGGTTGTCTTCCAAGAAGGTTTCTTTTGCTTGTCTCTTCAGACGCCATTTTCGACATACTTGGCTAGTCGCAACAGTAAAACTGCCTGTCCTAAAGCTTATAAAGGCGCCCGAGCTTGCTATTTTATTACTTTTATACACAGGAAAAGAAATAATCAAAAGTCACAACCCCTTCTTTCCGGTAACAGTTTGAAAATGTTGCACCAAAAACTTCCGTGCTAACGAAGCAGACGAAAATTCAAAGGGAGGCTTGCCGGAAACAGATGCTTCACTCTCCTACCCAGAGTTCCATGCGGCCGGCAGCCAGCTAGCATAGTGTTATGCTGAGTCACCACTGCGACGGAGTGTGCAGATGTTTGTGGGTAAAAATCTCAAAACCGACAAATTTTCTGATATCAACTTGCAAAAATAAAAGTGTCCCTAATATAATTTTTCTCTTGATATTAGAAAAATATGATACTTGAGAAGTACTTTCTAGTTCAATGCAGTGCAGTGATGTGTTTAATTAATTAGAAAATAATTAATGAATTAGCCTAATCTGCTAGGACATTCAACTCCGTTACGGATCACAAAATGGAAAGTAATTTTAATAGCGCTAGGTTGCTTTGAAATATAAAATCGTATTCAGCAATTAACATTAAGTGTGAATACAATTCAGTGTTAAACAAATGCAAACTGGCTAAATAAAATGTATGATTGGACATTTGTAAGTGCTCGCTCCATATTTCAAAAGTTTGCCTAGACAACAAAGTCATTTACATGAAAGACGGTATCCAAAATATAGTATTTTTCATCTTTTGTCACAACATATATTATCATTAATCCTAATCTAAAGTTAAAACTCATAAAAACAACAAAGTTTTTCGTCAGTTGTCAAAAGAAGTCATCTATTAAAAGAATCCTGACGTAACAGAGTTGAGTTTGTTGTAACGGAGTTGTAACTCATATATTTTGTTATTGTTCTCTAGCATAAAACAACAACCTTTTCATCCCTTTTGAGATGAAATGTGAAAATACATGCACTGTGTTGTGTTACTTGTCAGGACTTTGGTACTCATGGTTTATTAGCCAGTTGCTGCAGTAATGGCATACAAAAGTGGGTCTACTAAATTACTAATGTTCAACCCTTTGTATAGACGTTGAAATAAATAAGCACAAAGTTGCTTAAAATGCCATTTTAGATCACTATAATATAGTTACAAAACTTCAAGATCAAATTTCAGATCAATCATATCATCAACACTGTCAGAAAATATGTTGTTTATACATGCATAATGAAATTGCTTTCTGCAGCCAAAACACAATAGCCAGGCACTCCCATCAATGTAAAAGACAACAGTTCTGTCTTCAATAATTAGTCCACTGTCTGAAAGAGCGCTATCAATAGTATCAAATCCACATTTTGCACAGGTCCTAACATCTTGTTCATCCGAAACATCAGAGCAGTCTGAGTGACTATTTTAAAAAAAAGTTCTTACTACAGACTGTGGGAAAATTATTTGTCAGGTATAGGGTTAAAATAAAATAAAATATTCGTGAAGAACAAAGCTATGTACTGACAATAACTATCGAAATTGTGCAGAAGCACAAATTTTTCCTCTCCGTTACGCTGTACAGCATAACAGAGTTGAGTGTAACGGAGTTGAGAAACCTTACTATAAATGGCTCATATCCCAGCATGCTTTGCTTTTTATGGAAATTAAAATACTCACTGCTAACATGGTCTTGCTAACCAATTTCTCTTGGAAAAGTGAAGGAAATTAGAATGAGATATAGATCTATAGACAGTGTTACAGAGTTGAGGCTCAGAAAACATACTGTACTTAACAGACATATCTTGATGTCATTGGCTTGAACATTGTACATAAATGTGGCATCGATCTATCACCAGCAGATGAACTTCATACACATGTTGCCAAAAGAGGAAGCGTATGAGAGTTATCTCCCATAGCACAGTTATTTTTTTAGTATTGGTACGTTGTAACGGAGTTGAGTGCCTTTTGAGGGACATCTTTTTTTTCCTAATTTATTTTTTTTCAATTAGGTTTTAGATAATAATGATAGGATACATGTAATTAATGTTCATTTGAGAGTGTGAAAAACAAAATTTGTTACATTTTTAGAATATTTAGATATAGATTAGGTATTATTTTTTATTCTGGTCCAGCTGAGGGACAGCCATGTTTTTAGTAAATCCAGAAAATATTTGCTTATAAACAAACAAATATTAACTTGAAAGTACATTTTTTTAGCATTTTACATTTGAAGAAAGGTAATCTACTTGTAAATAGTCTTGAAAAGGAAATCAAATATTTTAAAATACATTTCTGCAAACAAACTACTGATGTACAGGTCAAGTGGGAAATTGTTACGGTGTTGAGATTTTCACCCTTGTGTCAGGGATAAGCTGGTTTCCGGCTCTCAAATGCGCGTCGTCAACTTGTGATGTGATGAGACGGGGCCCAGCTTCCATGGTCAATTTATTTGATCGAAAGGATTAGGAAATAGTTCCCATGGCATTCATTATGAATAAAGAATAATGACGTTGTTAATTGTGACAAAAACTACTGACTGACTGACCTGTACACATGAGAAGTTTGATTTCACTCTACACACATCTGTTGAGAGATGTACATTCGGGTCTGGTAAAAATGAATTGAAAATGCAATTATTGTTTCAGTATCCACCAGAGAAAGTGAGTTGTCCCGGACGGAATATATCAGCTTTGTGGGCGTAGCTGGCCACGCGTCAACTAGATATAGGGCGGTTATAATAGGTTAAGAGTTATTATAATTATAAAGCGAAAGAGACGTCTAATGGGGATCGGCTGGATTGTCACCCTTCCCCGATGTCGTGAATTGGTGCAGATATTCTCAACCCATACGCGATTACTACTGTCATTTTAACATCCTGCGTGAAGCATACAATGAAGAAATAAAAATTACAAAAGGCGCAAGTTTAGCACTTGCCAAATGTGAATACAAAGTTTCACAATAAATATTTAACAGCCTGTGAGTTATTCTCCGAAAAAACAACAACTTCATTTCCCCATGAGTCCAACTTTCTGCTTTGGAAAGGCAGAAGATACAAGCTGTACAAAATCTGAATATCAAAAGTCACTTTGATCACTAATGTTTGACGCTGTGCCTTGAAGCACCGGTATTTTTTATATCTTAAATCTTAGAATGAACCCCTGTTTAACAAACGCAACGAAGAGACATCGAGAAGTGACTTTTGAAATAATGATACAAAACAACGAATCAACGTCTTGTCAGATGACCTTCCAAAATAAATACACGTACGATGCTTATCCGAGGATGTATTGAATACTTATAGGCGATGTATTGATCAACACGGCACCATATATGCTCTCTGTGTGGCATCAGGACAACATTAGGTCAACTTTGGAAAGGCAGAGAGAGTGAAACAAATATTAATGCGTCGCATATCACATCATTTACATAATGCCATGTGTTAGCAAGTTAGTCATCTTTTCATCACTCCCATATACATCATACGTCATTTTGTGTTCATGAAATTTAATCCTTGTCCGCTAACATCAGTTCTGATACCTTTGCAGCCACTTTAGTTTTTGCTGCGTCATCTAGACTAGTGCCCTATCTATCTCATAGTCATTGAAACAGGTATGAGAACACCCACATATTTTACCATACTACATTCACGTAGCTGTATTTCTTGAACACAATTTAATGCTATAGGTAACAGATCTAACACTGGACATCCGATACCTCAAAATCTAATATGATTTTTGACTGGGCAACATTTTTGTTTGTCTGTTTCTTTCTTTCTTTGATGTTTAACGCCACACTCAGAAATATTCCAGCTATACGACGGCGGTCTGTAAACAATCGAGTCTGGACCCGAAAATCCAGTGATTGACATCATGAGCATCGATCCACGCAATTGGGATACGATGTCATGCATCAACCAAGTCAGCGAGCCTGACCACTTGATCCCGTTATTTGCCTCCTACGACAAGCACAGTCGCCATTGACGGCAATTTTGATTGTTTGGGAGACTGGTCCCAAGAACAGTTTTTGGTTAAAATTTGTCAAATGTCAAAGTCAGGTGTCAGGATAAGAAGGATGCATGACCCTAATGCAACAGAGCACATGCTCTCCATGATGTATGTGAATGTGCTGCACACAAGGGTATAAAAGTTGACACTGCTGAATCCTGTCATTTCAATGGTTTTACCACCATGGCACCAAGATGACCAATCTCATTAAAATCAGATCTTAGTTCTCGCTATCGCTAAACAAAGATCTGAGGACATGCCATTACGGGTCACGTCAGACTGACCTTGCGCGAATTTTGACCGACCAATGGAAAGACTGACAAGAAGTCGACATTAGCCAATCAGAAGGCAGCTTTCTCGTGCTTTACGGCACTAATTTCAAATCAGCGACTACGCTTCGAAACATATTTTGACAAATTCTCGATCACAAATTTGAAACCTGAACAAAAGAACATTCTGGATGGTCTAGATTGTATGGATTCAGTCGTTAAACCCGTTACTATCGTTCGAAATACCCCGTGTTAAAGTTTTCGAGGTTGCATGATTAGAAATCACATTCCGACTGTCACTTTCATGATCTGGTAAGCGACGCTCTGATTGGTCGGATGAAAGGTCGTTTTGACGTGACCCCTAATGGAATGTCCTCAGATCTTTGTGTAGCGGTAGCGAGAACTAAGATGTGATTTTAATGAGATTGCCAAGATGACCAGTATGCCAAGTGGACAGAAGAATGGCCACCGCATTGCTCCAGATGGAATATCTATCACAGAAGTTGCCAGGCTTCTCCAAAAGGAATCATCTGCATGTTATCTAGTGTATGTGGCACAGGTTCCAGACTCATGGAGAAGTCAAGGATCGACTTCGTTCGCGCAGATCAAGATTGAATCACAGAACCCCACTTTATCATGTCAATAGAAATCTGGCAGGTATTCGGACGTGATTCCCGGGCATGTTGCCCCCACTTTCGCTGCTGTTGGTCCTGCCAAACATCAGGATGATAATGCTTGGCCTCACAGGCTACCGACGTCGTCAACCGATATGAGATCCCCAGAATGCAGCGGCCTCCGCATTCCCCAGATTGGGCACCGATCGAACACCTGTTGGATGTACTGGGACGACGTTCGCGTGCAAATCACCCTCCTCTTGTCGGGCACCTCAATACAACTTACAGGAACTCGTCCAGTGCCTGCAAGCTGAGTGGCAAGCACTAT